CCCGCCCCCTGGTGGGCTGAGCTGGCCACACACACACACAATAAATAAATGTAATAAATATAAATAAATATTTAAAAAAAATCACTTCAATTTAAAAAAAAAAAAAAAAAAGGAAGGAAAGACACATTCACATAATTAGAAGACTGGCAGGTAGGCCTGGTGGCCTATCTCTGTAATTCCAGCATTTGGGAGGCTGAGGCAGGAAAATATGCCTTTGAGTTTGAAGCCAGCTGAAAAAACAAGTGGGGGGGGCTGGTGAGATGGCTCAGTGGTCTAAAGCACCTACATAGAACAAGCTTAGCAAAGCGCAGGGACCGCAGTTCAATCCCCCAGCACCACATGACAGCCAGCCTCGCCCCCTGGTGGGCTGAGCTGGACACACACACACACACACACACACACACACACACACACAAATAAATAAAAATTAAAAAAAAAAAAAAGTGGGAACCAGAATCTCAAGTAATAGAGCCTGAGGATAGCTGAGTGCCTGATCAGTACAGCGCGGCAAACGCTGGAGCTGCACCAAGACCTGGCTTTTAGGTGTAGCTGTGTCGCTGACCAGCTCTTCTTTGGATTGTTCCTTGGTCTCCCATTTTTCAGTCAGAATAAGAGCTTGGACCACCTACATCTTGGAAGATTAATGGATTACGAGGGTGCAGGATGCTAGGTTCTTCTATTGTATTCACAAAGCATTTGCAGGGAGCGGGGGAGGTGGGTCAGTGGAATAAGCGCTTCCCTGGCAAGCGCAAGGGTCTGAGTTCAATCCCCAGTTCTGCAAAAAAAAAAAAAAAAAAAAAAAAAAAAAAGAAAAAGAAAGAAAAAAGAAAAGAAAAAAAGCACTTGCAAAATGTTGAGTCTGCCATCTTTCTTCCTAACAGCAACGCGGAGGTTTCAGTGTTATGGGATTTCCACCACAGATCTGAAAGTGGGAAACTGGTCCATCTCAGCTTGTTAGTAAGGGTGAGGAAAAACTATGTCTCTGGTTTGTGTCACAACTTCAGATTTGGTTTCTTTTTTTTTTTTGAGAAAGGATCTCACTATTTTGCCCAGGCTCACGTCACACTCAGCATTCCTCCTATCTCCACCTCCCAAGTTCTGGGATTACAGGCAAGCATTACCACATTTAATTATTGTGAATCCTTTAATTTTATTTTCCCCTTATGGAGATATATAAACACTTCATTAAAATGAAAGGTGTTCTGGGCAAGGGGGCAGTTCAACTAGTAATTTTGATATTATTTTAGGAAACTGAAACATGTTTTTTAGAGGATGTTTCTAGATTTAGGAAACTTGGGGTCTGAAAAGTGAAGTTGTATGATTATAAGTGGTAATGGTAAGCTTGGTGACTATTACAAGTGACCCAAAAGGTGGCCAGGTATAGCTGCATGCCTGTAATCTTTGCACTATGGGAAGTCTGAGCAGAGCCTAGGTTACTTTGCAAGACCATGTCTCAAAAAAAGTGTAGGGATGTGCAAAGATCCTTGGTTTATATATCAGGGGAAAAAAACTTCCCAAAAGGTAAAATCTCATGCAGTTGTATCTTTGACTCAGTTTGTATGACTTCACTTCCCTAGTAATAGGGAACAAGAAGGCGCAGGTGTGTATTTTACGCAGATCTTATCTGCTAGTCTGCCAAGTGGCTTGCCTTAGAATGAGGTGGTGCCAGGCGTTGTCAGGCGTCCCCTTGTGATGTTTCCATTCCAGGCCACTCGGTTCCTAGGCTTAGGGTCTTTTGCCATTGACCAAAGGAGACTATATTTTCGGGAAAAGGAAAAAAGTGTTTATTCAAAGCCAGCTCCAAGGAGATGGGAAGGCCCATTTGCCTCAGATCACAATCTTCAAGTATAGCGTGTAAGGGGCTTTGGGAACAGGGGCGCACAGAGATCCATGCTTGCCGTGTCACTTCCAGCCATCTTCAGCTAGTCCTCTTCTTGTGCAAAGGAAAGGGGGCTCTTCCCAGATGCAGCTGAGGCTGGCACCTGCATATTCTGTCACTTCTTTTGGGTTGAGAGGAGGGGGTACTGGGCGTGTGCTCCGCTACAGGGAGTTTGGAGTTGCTTATCTTAACAAATAAAACAAAAACCAACTAAAAGTTCCGCGCTGGCTACGTGTCTGCCACACCGGTTTGGAAGGAGGGTGGCCAGATGGCAGACAACAGACGTTATTATAGTCTTTAGGTAAATAGATTTGGATGTAGTCTGAAAACGTGGTGAAGTCAGCAAAATTCCAAAATGTTCAGCATTTTCAGGGTGAGGGAGGCAGAAGCTTCTGATCCGTTCTGAGTTTCACAGAAAGGAGGGCAGTCCTGATTCCCCGAGCTGGGTGGAAATCGCCTTTGGAAGTGGAATTAAGACTTTAAAGTAGGCGCGCCCGGGCTTCAAAACAAGGCTGGTTTATGCATCGGTCTCTGTGTATGAGCTGCTAAGCGAGCACAGCATCGGGTCTTTGGAGCTTGACTCAAGCCCAGCAGTCTTCTACAGATCTGTTCAATTCATTAACTAAGGGCCCCGATCGTGAGGTGGCTGGCGCCTTCTTCAGGCAGGAGCTCAGGTTCCTGTCTCCCTCTAGCCTCAGCAAGCAGAAGAGCAGCGCTCACCGTGGCCCCAGATTGCAGAGATGGGTCCTCAAGCCAGCCCCATAGGCTTGAGGAACTGACTCCTTAGAAATCGCCCCTTGGAAACTCTGTCCTTAGTAACAATGTGGGGTGAGAGGAGGCTACGTCTGCTGTAGGGGCGCGGGGTGGCACCAGCCGATTACCACCTTTACCCGTCCCGGATCTCCCGCGGTGTGCTTGGAAAGCTTAGCGCATGCGCAGATTGGCAGGCTGAGCGGTCCGCGGGCGCTCTATGCAAATCACCCCAGGCTGAGCTCCGCCTACCGGCCGCGGCTCCGGAAGTGGTAGGTCCCCGCGTGCGCGCGCGGTCCCCACATCGCGCGCATCGCGCTCCGCCATACACGCTCGCGTAAGGCTCACGGCTCCTAGACCTCAGGACTCCTGCAGCCATGACGTCGCGGCCGGTGCGCGTGCTGGTGGATATGGACGGCGTGCTGGCCGACTTCGAGGCCGGCCTCCTGCGGGGCTTCCGCCGCCGCTTCCCAGAGGAGCCGCACGTACCGCTGGAGCAGCGCCGGGGCTTCCTTGCGCGCGAGCAGTACCGCGCCCTGCGCCCCGACCTGGCGGTAGGAGACGGGGAGCCCTTCTGTGGGCAGGACCGGCCGAGCTCCAAGCGGGGACACCTCTTTCCATTGGAAATGAACAGAACACCCAAACGCCCCGGTACAGGGACTTGAACCCAGATTGCTCTTGTAGCTTTTGATCTTGAGGCAGGGCCTCGCCGGGTTGTCTAGGCAGGGCTCGAACTTGCAGTAATCCTGCGTGGCCTCCCAGGGTGCGGGGGTTGCAGGGGTGCGCCACCACATTTCAGGCTAACACCCATTTCTGAACCCACAGTTCACCCCGGGACAAGAAAGTGGAAGCATTTTCCCCTGAATTTCCCGCCGCTCCAACAAAATCCTCTTGTTCGGACCTGGAGCGAGCGCTTAAAAGGGTGTCCTCGTCGGGGCGCCACCTGTTGGAGGCAGAAGGGAACCGAGAATTCTGTCTTGCAGGATAAAGTGGCCAGCGTGTATGAAGCCCCGGGCTTTTTCCTAGACTTGGACCCCATCCCGGGGGCCCTGGAAGCCATGCGGGAGATGAACGACATGCAAGAGTAAGTAAGCAGGATTGGGCGGGAGGGACGGTGACACCGGAGGGAAGTGGTGCTCACACCTTCGCTCACCGGCACCCTTGTCTGCAGCACCGAGGTCTTCATCTGCACTAGTCCTCTGCTGAAGTACGACCACTGTGTGGGCGAGAAGGTACTGCCCTCCTGGGCAAATTAAACTTTTTTTAAAAATCTTTTTTTTTTTTTTTTTAATCTTTTTTGCGACAGGGTCTGGTTATGTCGTCCAGGGTGGCCTTTAAAACTTGCCTGTAGGGGCCGGGGAGATGGCTCAGTGGAATAAGCGCTTCCCTGGCAAGCACAAGGGCCTGAGTTCAATCCCTGGTTCCACAAAAAAACAAAACAAAACAAGACAAACAAAAAAGCTTGCCTGTAGTCCAGGCTGGCTTCCAACTAAAGATTCTCCTGCCTCAGCCTCCCAAGTGCTGGGATTACAGGAGTGCATCAGCATTCCTGGCTAGCTTTCTAAATCATTATTTTAAAGATAAATCCCACCAAAACAGACAGTGAAGGCTGGTGGGGAGAGGAATTGACATTGAAGCAGTCACACCACCAGCACACTGCCTCTAAATTCAGGGTCCCTGAGGCGGCACTGAAACTGCTGTCTCCTACAGTACCGCTGGGTGGAGCAGCACCTTGGGCCCCAGTTTGTGGAGCGCATTATCCTGACGAGGGACAAGACCATGGTCCTGGGGGACCTCCTCATTGATGACAAGGACACCATTCGAGGTGGGAGCTGTCACCCATGTGGCCCGCCTGATTAGAGGGAGTACACACAACCAGCTGACTACCCCACTGCTTTCCTGTGCCAGGCCTGGAGCAGGCTCCACACTGGGAGCACATCTTGTTCACCTGCTGCCACAATCGGCACCTGGCCCTGCCCCCCACAAAGAGACGGCTGCTCTCCTGGAGCGACAGCTGGAGGGACATCATAGACAGCAAGCGGGGAGCTGCACACCAGGTGTGAGCAGGTCTGCAGTGGCTGGTGCTGACCGGGAGGGTGCACAGGACATACCCTCCCTGAGCACAGGCCCAGCCCCTGCTACCTCCCTCCACGGTCCCCCAGTGTGGCAGGCACCGAATTAGTGAGAAAAATCAGGCAAGACTATTTTAATAAAAAAAACCTTGAGCTCTCTGGTCTTCAAATCCCTTTATTTTGAAAAAGGAAAGGGACAAGAGCCCTCTCCCATGTCTTTAGTCCAGTGGCCGCTTCCATGCCCGCCAGGTCAGTGTTCCCCTAGCGTGGCCTTTCTGGCCACTGGGGCTCAAGCTTAAGGGTGGGCAGAACCTTGTTTCCTGAACTTGTGAACCACAAGTTCCTGTCAGGCTCCTTTCTGCAGCCCGGTGCACCGGACTCCAGGCTGCACACTTGGAGCCGTTGCCTCCAGTCCCTCACAGCATCGCTTTCCCTTCATGCCTGCAGCCTTCATGCACTCAAGTGACCTCTAGGGGTAGGATGCTCCCACATCAACTGTGACAGCAGGAGGGCCCAGGCTTCTAGTCTTGTGCTTGTGTGAGCTCAAGGGGTCTCATCTTTTGTGATAGGGTCTTGCTGTGTAGCCCAGCTTGGCCTCAAACTCACACTGATCCTCCTGCTTCAGCTTCCCAAGTGCTGGGATTACAGGTATGCACCACCATCCTTGGCTAAGGGCACTGACCTTTTTCTCATCTATCATCACCTCCAGGGCCTTGGTCATACTGCCTGGTAGCCAAGTTAGCTGTCACTGAGCAGTCACTTGAAGGTGGGGACCACAGCCTCATCTCGGGAGCTCTTATGAGGGACCTGGCAGATAGCAGGGCTGTGTAGACAGTTTAAGGTGGCAGCTGTTTGCATCAGCATCCATGCCCAGCCTGCAGACCTGAGGCAGGGGTCTCCATCCTCCACAGCCCTGGAGGGGAATGACACTTTCCCAGGTTCCCTGGGGCTCTTCCTTCTGTCCTCCTAGCAACAGGTATGTGTGGGTGGAGTGGGGGTGGGGTGGGAGGATTCAACCCAGGAGCTTTGCATTGAGGTACATCCTTGGGCCTTTATTTTTAAGACAGGATTTTGCTGTTAATCAGGTTGGGCTCAAACTTGTGATCCTCCTGCCTCAGCCTCCCAAACTGCTGGAATTACAGGTGTAATCAAGGTGGTTTTAATTTATTTTTGTGGTGTTGGAGATTGAACCCGAGTCTCTCAGAATTACTCTGGATACTGCTGTCAGGGCGCAACCTCTTACTCAGGTGCAGGCAACTCTCCTAAACCAGGAAACAGCTGCTTATTATACTGGTATGTGCCAAAGGGTGGCAGCAGGTGGGCCTTTTGGGGTGCAGCATGAAGGTGGCACCAGCTCCACATCTGGCCTCCCCACTCCTAGTGCCTTTTCATCCCAGCAAGGGTACCTGGCATGCTGAACCACCTTGGAGATGCTGGGCAGGCAGCACTGGGGTGGACTGCTCCTTGCTTCCTGCGCCCCCAGCAGGACTTGGTCTGCAGAATAAAGGTGCTGAGACCTTGGGGCCCCCATGATCAGGACTGCTGGGGGGCCTCAGTCCTTGGCAGGGGGATACCCAGGGCAGAGTGGGCTTGCCAGCTGCGGGCTTCAGCCACCTGGGTCGGGGAGCAGTAGTCCTCCAGGAAGATCTGGGCCAGGTTCCGGAGCCTCGTGTTGGCTGAGAGAGAGAAGCGCAGCATGCACTGGACCACGGGCAAGGAGGTGAGCTCGGGGTGGGAGCCAGCACCTGGTGAGCTCAGGTACATGAGCGTGGTGACAGCTGACAACACGGTCTCTTCATTGGGGCTGGACAGGCAGTTGGTGATGAGTGGGATGCCACCCACCTGCAGGATGTGCTCCTTGTTGGCCCTGTCGGCACACAGGTTGCAGAGGCCCCCTGAGGAAGAGCAAGGATGAGTCTGGGCTCCAGCACCAGGCCCCCCGCCCCCGCCAGCCTCTTCACCCAGCAAGTCTGGGAGGGACCCAGAGGCCACCTGAGCTTGCAATCTCAAGGTAGAAAACACTGCAGTTACCTAGTTTTCCAGAAGTGGACAGACCCTTTCCCTTTTGGTTGCACAAGGGGATGGGCTGCTTCCCTTCCTTCCTTCTCTTTGCCTTCCTTTTTTGAGACAGGGCCTTGCTATAGCTGGCTTTGAACTTGTAGCGATCCTCCCACCTCAGCCTCCCAAGTGCTAGGGTTACAGGCATGTGCCACCACTCGGAGCTTTCTAACTTCTTCTAGATGCCTGGAGGTCATGCTGTTTAGCCCGGACCGCTCAGAACAGGAAAATCACTTCCTGTGCCTCCTGACTTGGCTCCCCACTCTCTTGGTACCCACCCTTTGGTCTCTGCTCAGAGGTAGGAGTCCTCAGCAGGAGCCCCTCCAGGGTAAGGTCACAGCCCCGCCCACTTCCTGGCTTCTCTGGAAACAAGCAATTAGTTGAACCTGAAATGTACCTCAGGCATCTTCCCCAGAGGGGGCGTACAGGTGCCTGTGATGGCTCTAGGGTTCCCTCTCTTCCAGGGCAGAAGTTGGCCAAGGTTGGGTTCTGCTGCCCCTTCCAGAGCAGAAGCTGGGGCAAGATGAGTCCTGTTTTTTTCCTTTTGGTGGTACCTGGGATCCAGCCTTTCTCCACTTAGAATTCCATTTGGGCTCAGAACTTCCTACTGTGCTGGGAATAAAACTGACGCTCCTTTCGGGGCCTCCAGCCTGACATGAGTTCTTTCACTGCTCCTTGGCACTCGCTGCTGCTCCTTGGCACTTGCTGCAGTTGCCAATCTCTGTCCACCCTTGTGACCCTTGGGCTCCAACCTGCACAGGCTGACACCCTCTGGCTGGTGACAAACACTCCCTCGCTCCCCTGGAATGTCAGCTTGCTGCACCACTATGGTCCCTCATCACCTGTGTCATTGTCCTTAGAGACTGACAACCTGAGAAACTGACTCTGCATCTGTTTTCCTGGTCACTGCCTACCCAGCTCCCTATGAAGCCAGAGCTCTAGTGACAACCTCAGGCCCAGCACAGCGAAGGGCTCACAAACATGCGCTAGAAGTTTGGGTTTTTCCCTGGTACTGGGAGTGTATCCAGGGACTTTGTGCTGAGCTATAGCCCCAGCCGTTTATTTTGCAACAGGATCTCATTTACTCGTTAAATTGTGCAGGCTGGCTTGAACTCAGCATCTTTCTGCCTCAGCCTCCCAGACAGCTGGGATTACAGGTGTGCATCACCACACCCTGCTTGCTGGAAGTGTTTTAAAGCAGCCATTGTCAGAAAGAGGTTGCAGAACTGCAGAGGCCTTGGGGGCCACTCAAGAAGTCTCCCGAGACCCTGTCCGCCTGGATTTCTGCTCTGCGACAGGGCATGCACACAAGCAGGGACATCTGAGAGGAGAAGGAGCCAAGTGGCCTCCCTGAGTCCTGAGGAGGGTGTGCAGCACAGGAGGCAACTTGGCACCCATTCCCTGGGGTTACCAGCACCCCATTTTGGTGGGAGAAGCTGAGGCTGGGAGAGGGTAAGCAACTTGCCCAAGGTCCCTAGGGTGGGGGTCCTCTGCCATCAGTGTGGGACCTGATGCTCCCTTGGGAGCTGCAGGCCACCAGGCTTTACCAGGAGGGGGACGAGGGAGAGAGCTCTGGTGGCCTTGCTTCCAAGCCATCCCCACACCACCTCCCAGTTCTCCAGCCCCTCCATGACTCCAGCGGCACTGCTAGCTGCCGAGTCCTCATGAGGCCCAGGTGGGCCTCGGCCGGGCGCAGCCCCTCACCAGGGAATAATCGGATGGCTCTGCCCATGGTGGCTGCAGCGCCTTCCACCCCCACACGGAGGCCTTCAGCCTCCAAGGACGGAGCAGGTGCCCACTGGGGCTCCCCAGATGCTGAGGCGCAACAGTGACCTCATTAGCCCACAACAGGACAGCTACAGAGGACACGTCACACGCTCCCAGAAATAGTACCTCCAGAGTGTCACTGTTGTGGGTGACACCTGCAGGGGGAAAAAGATGCCAGACTGTATCCAGAATAGCACAGGTGCACTAAGCTGTCACCCTTTGAGAACTCTGTCACCACTGGAACCACCCTGGCTGGCAACATTCTTTATGCTTAGGGACACTGCTGTGAAACTTTTCTTGGGGCCAGGGGTAGTGGCTCCCAGCACTCGGGAAGCTGAGTCAGGAGAACTGCTGTGAGTTCAAGGCCAGCCTGGACTATATACATTGAGACCCTGTCTCTAAAAACTAAAAAACAAACCAAGCCAACAACAAAAAAATCCCTTTCTTGATTGTTGCCTCACTGTTTTAGGGGTACAGCTCAGGGGGTAGCATGTGCTCAACATATGCTAGGCCTTGGGTTTGGTCCTCAGCACGCGTAATTACAACACTCAGGAGGCTGAAACAGGAGGGCTGCCGGGAGTTCAAGGGCAGGCTGGGCTACAGAGCATAATTGTCTCACAAACAAACGAACAGGTGACTGTGCTCTCTTTCACAGTGATCCACTCACTCTGTGGCGTGTACTTCTTTGCCTGCTTTTAATGAGCCCACAGGCTGTTTCTTTTCCTATTTCCAATAAATGTAAAATCTCCCTAAACACAAGCAAATGACTATCAACTCCAAGAGAACATACTCTCTCTTGTCCGAGGCTTTCCTAGAACAGTGATGGAGAACTACTTTAGAGCTTCAGAAAGAACAAACAGCCAGCTGTGGCACACGTGGCACGGGTTCAACACCACTGACCTAGGACATAGCTGGTGCTCAATAAAACTGTACCCCGAAAAATGGACACAAAAATATAAGCAATGACCGGGTGTGGTGGGGCACACTTGTAATTCCAGCATTTGGGAGGTTGAGAAAGGATTGTTGCAAGTTGGAGACCAGCCTGGGGGGGCTATAATAGAGGACACAAGGGGCCAGGGAGACGGCTCAGTAGAATAAATGCTTCCCTGGCAAGTGCAAGGTTCCACAAAAAAAAAAAAAACCAAAAAAAAACAAGGCCAACCCAAACTGCATAGCAAGATCATGTCACACACACACACACACACACACACACACACACACACACACTCTATCTCTGCAGAGTACCACAGTGGTATTTTTCTTCTATTTGCCAATTTCTCACTGACAATGCCCAAGCTATGTAGCCCAGGCCAGCCTTCTTCCTTTCTTTCTCCCCACCCCACCCTGTCAATCTCTCCTCCCTTCCTCTGTTCCAGGTCAAGGGCCAGGCAAGCTCTCTACCACTGAGTGACACCACTGGCGTGTGTCTGTCTCTGTCTCTCTTTGGTGCTGGGAACTGAATCCAGGGCCCCCACACTAAGCTGCCTCCTCAGCCATTCTGACACAGGGCTCAGGTAAATCTCTAGGTTGCCCAGACTATGCTCAAACTTGCTACCCTCCTGCCTCTGCCTCCTAGAGGAATCACAGGCTGGAATTATAGGCCTGTGCTATCATGGCCAGCCTCCAATTTTTTTTGGAGGAGGGGTGGACTGGGGATTGAATTCAGGACCCAAGCGCTTATTCTACTGAGCTATCTCCCCAGCCCACCTTTTTTTTTTTTTTTTTAAACTTTGTGTGTGGGCTGGTGAGATGGCTCAGTGGTCTAAAGCACCTACTTGGAACAAGCTTTGCAAAGCACAGGGACCACGGTTCAATCCCCCAGCACCACATGCCAGCCAGCCCCGCCCCCTGGTGGGCTGAGCTGGCCACACACACACACACACACATAAATAAATAAATGTTTAAAAAAAAAAAAATAAATAAAATAAACTTTGTGTGTGTGTGTGTGTGTGTGTGTGTGTGTGTGTATGTATGTGCGCGCACGGTGGCCAGCTCAGCCCACCAGGGGGTGGGGCTGGCTGGCATGTGGTGCTGGGGGATTGAACCGCGGTCCCTGCGCTTTGCTAAACTTGTTCCAAGTAGGTGCTTTAGACCACTGAGCCATCTCACCAGCCCACCTTTTTTTTTTTTAGACAGGATCTCATTGTATACACTAGGCTGGTCTTAAACTCACTGCATAGTCCATGCTGGCCTCAAACTCAGGGTGATCCTCCTGCCTCAGCTTCCTGAGTGCTGGGATTACGTAAGTGTGCCACCATGCCTGGCACTAACCTATTTTTTAATAGTTAAATATTACTGAGGAAGGAGGAATACTCATTAAATAACACCGTTAAAGTAACAAAAGGAAAGGAAAAAACATTTGAACACAACTTTAAAATGAAGAAAAGACAAGGGAAAAAAGTTGAACAAATTTTTCATCACAAGGCTAATATATATGAAAAACTGCTCATTACTTACCAGAAATTAAACTTTGAGATGCTGTCTCAAAAACACAACAAAGAATTGTAGAAAATGGTTAACAGTTTTATCAAAAGGGTCCAAATCAGAAACAACTTCAGCTGGAGGGTTAACAACCTAAGTTTGCAGACCAAAATTAGAGAAAAAGGAGGGCTGCAAGGAAAGCCAACATTTTGGCCCTAGCCTTCCAAGGTCAATTGAGACTCAGGACATATGAGAACTTGTACTGTAACGTCACGTAACTCAGTAGTGTCCCAAATTTTCTGATCAAGGAGATTACAGGGCCAAAGAGGAAAGTGATCGATGATGTAGAGTGTGCCTAAGGAGAGTCACTTGGAGAGAAAACATTCTCTCAGGCTTTCACAGAGAGCACACTGGCCAAGCAATGGCCGTGACTCATCCACACGGCTGACACTGACAAAGGTTCTACAATCTGAGGTACAGGATCTCAGGATAAATCCTGAGGGGATTTCACTGATCTTATCAGATTCAAAAGCTGCAACTCTTGGTGCACAGGTCCTGCTTTACCTTGGTCTTAACCATCCAGCTGAAAAGAATAAAAACGAAGTATAAGAAGTAAAGCCATGCTGTTATGTTGAGCTGTAGGGGACTC